GATATTTCACTCAGCATAATGTTCTCCAGAGTCAGAAGGCTTTTAGGACCAATTAGTAGGCTCTGTGTCCAGGAGAAAAGGAATATACTTACCAGTAATGCTAATGCTTACTCACAGCTCTTCTGGGAGGATCTAAATCATTGAAGAGTCCTCCTTTGTTTCCAGCTGGGAGCTGGGGCCTGTCAGTCCTGTCTGCCACGAGCACCTGATGTGGGCCACCTTGGCCAAGTGTCCTTCAGAGCCACACTTAAAGCAAGTGAGTGGGAGCTTCCTCTCTACTCCCTTGCCTATCTGTGGCTCTCGTCTGTGACACTGTACAACCTCGCATTTGATGTTTTAATTTTGCTATTCTTACTGGGTGAGATGATATCTCATAGTTGTTTTGGGTTGCTGTTTAAGACAGATTTACTTATTCTTTTGCCAGTTCATGAGATACTTATAACTCTTCTCCAATACTTAAAAGGCATTAATTATTCTGTATTCCTTATTCATTGTGTAGCTTTAGGATGTATGGGAAGCAATTGAAAAAAATCCATGGCTTAGATCAAGTGCACCTCAGCCCTTAAACAGACATCTTAGCTCTATACAGCTTCAGAGAGGTCATTGACAGTTGGTTCCCCCCAACCCCCCCCAGTGCTTTTGACCTTGACTTTTGAATTCTTGACTTCTTTTGCCATGTGTGTTGATTATGGATCCAAGTAAAATTAAATCTTTGACAACATCAGTCTTTCTTCCATCTATCAGGATTTTTGTTTTCTCAGTGTTTAGATGTAAACCATTTTGAAGGCTGAAGTCTATGATGTTCTCCAGTAAGTGCTTGAAGTCTTCTTCCTGCAAGCAAGGTTGTATCATCTGCACAGTGCAAATTGTTGATGAGTTGTCCTCCAGCCCTGATACCAGATTCTTGGTTATATAGTCCAGCTTCTTGAATGATTTGCTCAATTCAATTCAATACAGATTGAATAGATAAAGGATACAACCCTGACCCATACCTTTCCTGATTTTAAACCACGCAGTGTTCCCTTGTTCTGTTTGGACAGATGTTTCTTAGTCTAATGCATCGATTTTGAATGAGCTTCATTAAGTGTTCTGAATTCCCATTCTTTGAAATATTAGCCATAATTTTTCATGATCTACACAGTCAAATGCCTTTGTATAAGCAATAAAATGTAAGTAAACATTTTTCTGATATTCTCTGCTTGTAACTAAGATTCATCTGACACAAGCAATGATAATCCTTATGTCACAGCTTTCTCTTGCTTGTTGAGGTTAATAATTTTTAAAATGCTGTTGTGTTTTTGTTTTCTTAAGGGGACAATTCATCTTTTTCGAAAACCGCAGAGATCTTTGTTTGGCAAGTTACTACAGGAATTCAGACTTGTAGCAGCTGACCGACGAGTAAGTTATTTTTAGTTTTTAATTTACCATTATAATGTTTAAAAAATTAAAAGGAAAATAAAAATTACTTTTAATCTCACTACTGTTTTCTTTTTTCTATGTTGGGTAATTTTAATGTAAAATGTAGTTATCTGATATGTAATTACTGATATGTAATTATAAGTTTTGCTTTTATGAGAAGTAGGTAAGACTACAGTTTTTAATCTAAATCTAAACTGTTTTAAAGAAAAAAAATTGTTATTGTCTTATTAAGTTTTTAAAAATGGAATGAATATAGTCTAAAGTTACATCTTCTTTTTAATACAACAGTGTAAAAATATATTCTATACTTTTAAATTATAAGTTAAATGATAGTTATAATTATTAGTCTTTTTTGTACCACTGTAGGCCTTCCAATTATTGTACTGTTTTCATTGTTCTCCTTGTTGTCTAAATTATACTGTAGGTTCAGGGAGGGCAGAAACTGTGCCCATTTTGCTTACCTTTTTATAAAAGTACAAACTAAGCAACCATAATTTTGTGTGTAAGAGAGAAAAATTTATATTTAGAATTAGCCAGCTAAACTTAGTTTAGCTTCAATTTTGTTGGCACCATGCAAAGTGTCATAGTCAGGAGCAAGTCAAACATAGGCCTTCTTCTCTCCATCAGGCCTAATCAAGATGTTGACCTTGGCCACATCAGTGTCTTAGAGCTTCTTTATAGCTTGTTTCATTTGTTGCTTGTTAGCCTTGACAAGTGAACACAAGTGTGTTGTTATCTTCTATCTTTTTCATGACTGAGTCAGTGGTCATGAGAAACTTGATGATGTCATAGTGGTCAAGCTTGGATTCTTCTGGGGGTATTTGAGCTGCCTTCAGAGTCTCAGTGTTTTAGACTATTGGAAGGTGGGTGACGTGCAGATCTTCTTTTTTTCTCTGGCTGTGGATGCCCTTCAGGACTGCCTTCTTGGCCTTTAGCACCTTTGCTTTGGCTTCAGATTTTGGAGGGACAGGGGCTTCCTTCTTTGCTTTTGGTACCATCTTTGTAGAAAGACAGCCATAACATTTTGATGACTTTTAAATAAACATAACTTCAGTGGAACATAATAAGAAATAACAATGATATTGGCCATGTAATTGTGATAGTTAAACAAAAAGCTTCTTTTTGGTGATAATTTGCCACTGAATCTAATCTCCTTTTCCTAAAACCTGCTGCCAAGGCTTGAATAATAAAGATGAAAAGAACAGATAATTCATTGACTTCTCTAATGGACTTTAGAGTGATCTTTTGAGAATAGTTAAATATAGTTTTGTTATATTCCATGTAGCACAAAATGTCAGCAGGAACAAACTAATACAGGAACACCTGCCATAATTTAAATCTTGTGTGATACATCTGGCTTGTCTCTCTTCACCACTGCATCTATCATCATTTTTGAGATTTATCTTGTAGTTCATAGAGTATTGTGCTGGTTACCAAAAGGTGGCATTTTTCAAGTTCAAATTCATCAACAGCTTTGTGGGAGAAAGATGGGCATTCTCCTCCCATTCAGATTTATAGCCTCGGAATCCTGATGGAAGGTTGCTATGACTGATTTGAAGGCAATACATTTGAGAATTAGTTTGTTGTTGTTGTCTGGTTTTATTTTTTTAGAATAGTTGCTTGCTTACTTTGGGGGGAAAAATCTTTCTATCTCCAGCTTTGGTCAAATTTGTTGTTCTTGTTGTATGCCCTTGAGTCAGAACTCACTCATCTCCTGTGGATTTTCAAACACCAAAGTGCATAAGAATAGATTGCCCTTTTTCCTTTGGTGGATTTAAACCACTTGTCTGGGTTGTCAGCACAACTCCCTACTCTAAGGTCACCAGAGCTCCCTATGGTCGGTCATATATAGGCTATCACTTCTTATACCTACATCCTTTTGTTGTATCAGTTTCGAACATTATACTCACCAGTTATTGCCTCATGTCTTTTTAGTTCATGCCTGCTGATATCCTGACTCAAAGAATCCTTCAATCTTATCACAACCTTTGACCGTTGGTAATCCATTGACTATTTTCACTGTATCTCATGTTGCCTTTTTTTTCTTTCTCTACTTACTTTCTTATTCAGTTTAGGCTCTGTGACTCATCATTCTTTTCTTGCATATTCCCTTGACTTTTTGCCCCACCCTGGGGATAATCTCTTCCCATTTGATTTACTGCCTTTGGACACCTGCTATGGCTCAGTTCCCACTCAATGATACATAACAACACCACCACCAACTTCCCTTATCATACTTTTTTTTTCTAGTCTTTTTTTTTCTATAATTATATTTTATTAATTTTCATAAACATTTACAGAGATTTTGGGTTTCCATTCATTCATTGTTGCACTATTCTCTCTACCCTCCTCCCAGTTTGTTCTTGTCCAAATGCCACAGTGCTTGTCAAAGCCAGTTCTGATCAATCTTCTTTGTCAGTGTATCCTTTGCCATTCCCTATCACTCCTCCCTGAGAGAGACTTCACCCTGAGTCATAAGGAAAAGGGGACGGCGTATTCTCTTAGCTACTTCCTGCTGAAAAGGGACGCTGTGGGTTTCAGGGTGAAGATCTTCTCTCACTACTCTAAAGGGCCCCTTTGGCAGTAGGAAACACATAGACTATTATGGAGATTGATTTTGGAATTTAGATGCACTCTTATTGATTGTGCTTGGCCGTACATGTTCATATCCTTGAAGATGTATCATGGGGGTGTTGCAACCTAGAAGATACAAATTTGACTAACAAGTTATAAGTACATGAGTCCAAAAATTATGGAAAAGTAAAAGAAAAGATTCTTTCATTGTTTTACAAACCCTCCCCCAGGTCCCCTCCACCATGTAGCCCTCGCTCTAGTCTCCTGTGATGACAGAAATACCTAGTTATATATCCCTTTTAAACAGTTTTCTCCCTCCTCTGTTTCAGTGCAGTATACATTATTGAACCCATCTTACTGTCTCTCCCCAACCCCAAGGACAGTCCCATTCTACAACAGTGGCATCATGTAATATTTGTCCTTTTGTGACTGGGATATTTCACTCAGCATAATGTTCTCCAGAGTCAACCATCATACATTTTATCACTGTCTTTGTTAAATCCTTAACCTTCATTAAGTCTATTTTCTTTCTACCCTCATGTGCACTAAACGACTGAATGTAGCCCAAACAGAAAATCATACTGAGTAGTCCTACTTTGTGGGAGAAGGATGGGCAGTCTCCTCTCCTGAGATTAGTTCTGACTCTACAGTACACAAGTCCTACTTTAAATTCATTCTGAGGAGGCCATTATTGCAGCCTGTACCACCATTTTCACGTTGAGATTTTAACTACTCATTCGTTGTCACGGAGGTGGAACTGGCTCATAGCTGACCCTCCATTGGGTTTTTGAAGCTGTAAATTGAATGGGAAGAGAGTGCTGGTCTTTTTTATGGGGCTTTTGGTGGATTTGAACTGCCAGAGAGGCACTACCTTTGGGTTATCAGTGCAACTCCCTATGACTAGGCCACCAGAGCTTCCTAAGATGCCTACTTGTATGTTCTGTCAACTCGTAACTGACTCATTGTTGACCCATCAGCAGGTTTTCAGGGGCAGTAAATCACACAAGAAGAGATTGCCCATCTTTTTCCTGTAGAGCAGCTGGTGGATTTGAACCATTCATGCCTTCAGGTTGACAGTGCACCTTCTTACCACTAGGCCACTAGAGCTTCCTCAGATGCCTCCTATTGTTGTTGTGTACTTTCGAGTCAGAACCGACCCCTAGCTGACCCTCCAGCAGGTTTTCAGAGGCAGTAAATCACATGGGAGGAGATTGCCCATCTTTCTCTAGCAGAGCAGTTGGTAGATCCAAACTGTATACCGTGGTGTTGACAGCACAGTTCCTTACTGTTGAGCAACCAGCGCTCCAGATGCCTACTTGTTGTTGATTGCCAACGAGTCAAGTATGACTCATAGTGACTCTTTGAACAAAAGAGTTTTCCATAATTTCCATAATTATTGTTGTTTCTCCAAGTTCATAGAGTTTCCTAGGCATGTGGTTTAGGAAGTGGATGCCACTCCTGCTTCCAAACCTGTTTTACATCTTGGAGCTCCATTAACCACTCTCCACATTGGGAGACCATTATGGTATTTGATACCCCAGTGGCACAAGGTTCAGCATCACAGCAAACCCAGACTACCTCAGGACAGCAAGTTGATAAAGAGTGATGTACAAAGTAGAAGCATGTTCCTCCAAAAATAACATTAGTCTCACTTAGCAGTGGTTAAGTGTCATCAAGTCTAATACAACTCATAGTGACCCTCTGAACAAAAGACCTAAACTCTGTTCTTTAATTAACATAATTTCTGTATGATTATAGAGTCTATAGAGTTTACAGAAGCATCTGTTTTAGGAAGTGGATGCCATACCTGCTTCCAGACCAAAATCAGTTTGGAAGCTCCTCTAAACGCTGTCCATGATAAGTAACCGTTATAGTATTTAACATGACTATAGCACATTTCTTTAAATTAGAGAAATGTCATCTTGGAGCATGGAGAACTTAGTTCGAGCAATTTCCTACTCCTAAATGACGTGCTTATGCTTTTCTTTCAGTTCTCTTTTCAAACTTCCAAAATCATCTTTTCTGTCCTCCCTCAAACCTGTTGATCATCCTTCCTGTTTTTCTAAGAGAAAAATAACCTGAAGAGAACTTCTACATCCCCTAATTAGTACATCTTCTAATACTCTGCTCCTGTCACCCAGTGTCTGTGAATTAACTATCCTCTCTACTCTCTAAGGCCAGTCCTTTCACTTGTTGAGTATTCAAACTGTTCTGTTTTTCTTGCATTATTTTCTCTTTTTGTATTATTCACCTTTCTTGCATAGTAATTATATTCTGCTCTCATCTAATCCTTCATTTCTATGCTCCTTTTCATAGTGAAACTACTCAAAAGAGTTGTCTATGTTTATTTTCTCTTTTCCTTGCCACTGAAGCCATTCTAGTCTGGTATTGTTACTTATTCATCC